AAAATACAAACAAAATAAATACATTTGGGCATATTGAGTATTTGTGTCAAGTTTGGTCTAGATCCATCATTGTTTGAGCCCACAGTGCTCTCTCGATGTTGGTGAACTATAACTCCAAAACTCAAGGTCAATGCCCACTCAACCCTTCCGGTATTTTCTGTTGGTCATGTGAGTTCTGTGTGCTAAATTTGGTTCAATTCCATCATTGGTGGGGTTCAGGCTGTTCTTTGATTGTAGGTGCATAAATCCCAGCAACTACAACCCGCAAATGACAAAATCAATCCCTCCCCAACTCCACCAGTATTCAAATTTGGGCGTATTGGGTATTTGTGCCAAATTTGGTCCAGTGAATGAAAACATATTCTGCATATTAGATATTTACATTACGATTCATAACAGTAGCAAAATTACAGTTGTGAAGTAGCAACAAAAATAATTTTATGGTTGGGGTCACCAAAACATGAGGAACTGTATGAAGGGGTTGTGGCATTAGGAAGGTTGAGAAACACTGTCCTAGGTCATATGGTCGGCACAACTGCATGGAGCGCTGTTACCTTCCTGATGGAGCCGTACCTATTAATCTACTCACATTTGCATGTTGTCAAACTGCTAGGTTGACAGAAGCTGGGGCTAACAGCGGGAGCTCACCTCGCTCCCTGGATCTGAATTGACAACCTTTCAATCAGCAAGTTCAGCAGTTTAGCAGTTTAACCTGCTGCGACATCAGGGGGCCCAGGCCCTTCCATACAACCATATAAACCAGAATATCAAGGCATAGCTGCTTTGAACTGGGTTATCTGAGTCCACACTGCCATATAATCCAGTTCAATGTGGATTTTATACAGTTGTGTGGAAAGAGGTCTTAGGCCTCTTCTACACTGCCATATAATCCAGATTATCAAAGCAAATGATCAAGATGATCTGCTCTGAACTGAATGATATGAGTCTACACTGCCATATAATGGATTCTATGAGGCCTGATTTATTATATATTCTTGTTAAGGATGTTTTACTTGTTCAGTTTCTCTATTTTAACTGTTAATTTTAATTGTTGATTCTGTTTTGCTTATTTTTATATTGCACATGGCATTGAATGTTTGCCACTTTGTTTTTGGAAGCTGCCCTGAGTAACCCGATTATTATTACTATTATTACTATTATTATATAATCCAGTTCAAAGCAGATCATCTGGATTTTATGTGGCAGTGTAGTAGGGCCCCCCAGAATGAACCTACACTGTAGAATGAGTGCAGTTTGACATCCCTTGAAGTGTGCAATGCTATGGGGTCATCATGAGGACCTTGGGGTTTTTTTCTCTGCCAAAGAGAAATCACTTTCTTCAGTACCAGTTTGGAGCTGCATTCCATCATCAGTGTAGATGGGACAGCACACTGAACACACTGGAGGAAAGGCAGCATATTTATTTATTTATTTATTTATTTATTTATTGTTCTTATACTCCGCTACCATCTCCCGCAGGACTCGGTGCGGCTTACTAGAGGCCAAGCCCAATAACATCATATAAACAACAACAACAAAACAATAAATAACTCATAAAAAGCAAAACAATACAATAATAACACAACACATTTTAAAAACATGGGCAGGGCTATATGTGAACATTTTAAAAGTTAAAAGCTGGGAAGTTCAAAGGGGATAGGAGGAATACTTTAGGATAGGTGGACGTGCAGACAGTTCTAAATCCCTCATAAAGTGCATTAAGGACATATTGCTTAGGATTCCTTATTCTGGGAAGGCACACTGGAACATCCACGTTTTCAAGCTCCTTCTAAAGACTGCCAATGTTGGGGCCTGCCTGATGTCCTTGGGAAGGGAGTTCCAGAGTCGTGGGGCCACCACCGAGAAGGCCCTGTCCCTTGTCCCCACCAATCGCACCTGTGAAGCAGGTGGGATCGTGAGCAGGGCCTCACCAGATGAACGAAGAGATCGTGTGGGTTCGTATACAGAAATGCAGTCACGAAGGTAGATGGGTCCCAAACCATTTAGGGCTTTGTAGGTAAGCACCTGCACCTTGAATTGAGCCCGGAAAATGAATGGCAGCCAATGGAGCTCCTTAAACAGGAGGGTTGACCTCTCCCTGTAAGGAGCACCAGTTAACAGCCTGGCCGCCGTCCGCTGTACCAACTGGAATTTCCGGGCCATTTTCAAGGGCAACCCCATGTAGAGTGCATTACAGTAGTCTAATCTAGAGGTGACTAAGGCATGGACCACCCCAGCCAGATCCGCCACAAGGCTAACAATGATGAGCAGATAGACAGGAGCAGAATTCAAAACGATCTGAAAGAGGTGATTGGCCAAAACTAACAAAATGAAGTTCAACAGGGACAAATGCAAGAAATCTCTCTTAGGCAGAAAAAATGAAATGCAAAGATACAGAATGGGCAACAATGACTGACTCGACAACAGTACGTATGAAAAAGATCTTGGAGTCCTCGTGGACAGGAAGGTCAACATGAGAGAACAATGTGATACGGCAGCTACAAAAGCCGATGGGATTTTGGCCTGCATAAATACTAAATACTAAATAAATACTAAATAAATAAATACTAAATAAATACTAGTGCCTAGATCCAGGAAAGTCATGCTACCCCTCTATTCTGCCTTGGTCAGACCACAACTAGAATCCCACTGCATCCAATTCTGGGCACCGCAACTGAAGGGAGATGTTGACTCTAAGCTGGAATATGTCCAGAGGAGGGCGACTCAAATGATCAAGGGTCTAGAGAGCAAGCCCTATGAGGAGGGGCTTAAAGAGCTGGGTATGTTTAGCCTTCAGAAGGGAAGGCTAAGAAGAGACATGATGAGGGCTATGTAGCAAGATGTGAGGGGAAGTCATAGGGAGAAGGGAGCAAGCTTGTTTTCTGCTGCCTTGGAGACTTGGACACAATGGAACAATGGCTTCAAACTACAGGAAAGGAGATTCCACCTGAACATTAGGAAGAACTTTCTGACTGTGATCAGCAGTGGAACTCTCTGCCTTGCACTGTGGTGGAGGCTTTAAAACAGAGGCTGGATGTCCATCTCTCGGGGGTGCTTTGAATGCTATTTTCCTGCTTCTTGGCAAAATGAGGTTAGACTGGATGGCCCACAAGGTCTCTTCCAACTCTATGATTCTATGATCTGCTCTGAACTGAATTATATGAGTCTACAACTGCCATATAATCCATTTCCAAGCAGATCATCTAGATTTTATATGGCAGTGTACAAGGGGTCCAAGGATCCATCTACACCAGATAAACTTCGGCCCTACAGTTGTTTTGGACTTCAACTCCCAGAATTCCATTATATTTTCCTTATATGTTTGACCATTTCCCCAATTGGAAATACTTACTCTATAGCTCTTCCTAGCTTCTAATATTTTTATTTATTTTATCATAATTCAATACATTTGTTATACTGGGTTGTTGTAAGTTTTTCGGGCTGTATGGCGATGTTCCAGAAGTACTCTCTCCTGACATTTCGCCTGCATCTATGGCAGGCATCCTCAGAGGTTGTGAGGTCAGACCTCACAACCTCTGAGGATGCCTGACATAGATGAAGGGAAAACATTAGGAGAGAGTACTTCTGAAACATCGCCATACAGCCTGAAAAACTTACAACAACCCAGTGATTTCGGCCATGAAAGCCTTTGACAATAATAATAATAATAACTTTATTTTTATACCCCGCCTCCATCTTCCCGAAGAGACTCGGGGCAGCTTACATGGGGCCAAGCCCAGATAACAAGAGTTAAAACATAGCACATTAGAGTGCGTCACAACAATTTGAAACAACATAAAACAACATTATACAAAATGTAAAAGAAGCATCAAAACCAACAGCAATAACATAATTGCTGGCTGCCAATTTGCTACCAAGCACAATTCAAAGTGCTGGCTTTAGCCTATGAAGCCCTAAACGATTCTGGCCCAGCTTACCTGTCTGAACGTATGTCCTCCTAAGAACCATCTAGGAGCTTAAGATTGTCTGGGGAGGCCCTGCTCTCGATCCTGCCTGCCTCGCAAGTGCGATTGGCAGAGACGAAGGACAGGGCCTTCTCAGTGGGGGGCCCCGGCTATGGAACTCCCTCCCCAGGGATATTAGATCACCCCCCCCTTCCTGATTTTCCGAAAAAAAGCAAAGACCTAGCTCTTTGAGCAAGCTTTTGAGAATGCAGATAACACAGAACTATGAATGATGAACATGGAATGGCCAGACGATGTTACTGGATAACACAGGATGACACCAATGATGGTTTTTATATATGTCTTATATTGTAACATTGATTGTTTTTAATGGCACTTTTATGAATGCCTGACATCGAATTGTGCCAATCTGTAACCCGCCTTGAGTCTATAAATATCGTAAATAAATACATATTTGACAATATATTTGTTATATATCTTCCTATTCACTGATCTTTTATCCTTCTTTCGAGAGGCTGTTAGGAATTGTGGGAGTTGAAGTCCAAAATACCTGGAGGGCCAAAGTGTGCCTATGCCTGATCTACAATGTAGAATGAGTGCAGTTTGACATCCCTTGAAGTGCACAATGCTACATGGAAAACTTCGGTTTCTTCTCTGTCAAAGAGAATTCACTTTCTTCAATACCGGTTTGGAGCTGCATTCAATTGTCAGTGTAGATGGGGGCCATGGACAGCACACTGAACATACTGGAGGAAAGGCAGCATATGCATGTCAACTAGGATGAGGCCCATGACATTCGTAATACGAAGAATCCCAAGCATCAGCCACTGCAGTCATTCCCCAGGGCCTTGGCTCCAAGCATCAAAGCTTCCTTCAGCCTGCCATGCCCAAATGGATGAGCCCAGTGTTTCTACTCTGCTCCTTCCATGACAATCCCTGCTGGTTGCACCAGGCATCCTGCCAAAGCTTGCCTCCATCCCTCTGGATGGCTCCCGCCCTGGTCCCCATTCATTCAGCCCCAGGCTGCCTTTGGGGACATGCCCAGGCGGGGCAAGCCCTCGCTCTCTCACTCACCCAGGCGGACCCCATAGGCATTGGCCACGGCGGCCCGGAACCGATCCATGTGGGTGTTCCGCTTAGAGTCCGGCTCCCACATCACCTGCGACTCCATGATCTCCAGCTCCCCAGACATGGCGAGGCTCAGCCTTGGAGCTGTCCCCCACCGCGCACGCGCACTACCCTGCCGATGCCTCGGCTGAAAGGAGACTGCGGGGCTCCGCCTCCGGGCGCCGCCTTTTCAAGGACGCCTCGCGCCTCCCTTCCCCGGCTGTAACCTTCCGCCAGAAGAAGGAAAGAGTCCCTGGAGACGGCGCGCGCTCCAGCCTCGGGGATTTCTTTCTCATATCAGGAGCGAACCAATGAATTTGAGAAAACACAAAGTTTCAAAAACTTGGCGTTCTAGTCAATGTCCTTTGACCAGTAGCTGGCCACTTGGAGTGCCTCTATCAGGAGGACCTCCATTGTGCATGTGGCAGGGCTCAGGTTGCATTGTACCAGGGTTGAATGAAAAGTAATGCTTCCACCTTCGTTACTTGGGTTTGGATGGGAATATTTTAATAAATCAAACGCAGAACTAATCCTTAGAATGTGCTCTTTAACTACCACTATTCACTTTTCCACAATTCAAGAGAGATATTGACAAGCTGGAATGTGTCCAGAGGAGGGCAACTAAAATGATCAAGGGTCTGGAGAACAAGCCCTATGAGGAGCGGCTTAAGGAGCTGGGCATGTTTAGCCTGAAGAAGAGAAGGCTGAGAGGAGATATGATAGCCATGTATAAATATGTGAGAGGAAGCCACGGGGAGGAGGGAGCAAGCTTGTTTTCTGCTTCCCTGGAGACTAGGACGCTGAACAATGGCTTCAAACTACAAGAAAGCAGATTCCATCTGAACATGAAAAACTTCCTGACTGTGAGAGCCGTTCAGCAGTGGAACTCTCTGCCCCGGAGTGTGGTGGAGGCTCCTTCTTTGGAAACTCTTAAACAGAGGCTGGATGGCCATCTGTCAAGAGTGATTTAAATGCAATATTCCTGCTTCTTGGCAGGGGGTTGGACTGGATGGCCCATGAGGTCTCTTCCAACTCTTTGATTCTATGATTTACTTTTTCACCCCTCCCCAGAGCACCAACTGGTGGGTGCAGGGGACAGGTCCACCTTGTCTCCTGGGCTATACTTATAATATAAAATTTTGTATATACATATCATATTTATTATATTATGATGTAATGCACTATAATAATATGATATTATAATTATATATCTATATTACATGTAATATTACTAATAATATTACAATATTATTAGTGTTTTGTTTTCCATTATGTTATTTTGTACTGTTTATTTTACTTGATTGGTTTATTTATTTTATTGTGATGTTACTTTGTTTATATTTTATGTTGCTATAATGTATGCAGAACACATCATGACGAATGCAAGGCTGGGGTAAAAATTGCTGGAAGAAACATTAACAACCTTAGATATGCAGATGATACCACTTAGATGGCCGAAAGCGAGGAGGAGCTGAGGAACCTTCTAATCAAGGTGAAAGAAGAAAGCGCAAAAGCTGGGTTGCAGTTAAACATTTAAAAAAACAAGATTATGGCAACAAGAATGATTGATAACTGGGAAATAGAGGGAGAAAACGTGGAGGCAGTGACAGACTTTGTATTTCTACGTGCAATGATTACTGCAGGCGCAGACTGCAGCCAGGAAATCAGGAGACGCTTACTTCTTGGGAGGAGAGCAATGACTAACCTCGATAAAATAGTGAAGAGTAGAGACATCACACTGGCAACCAAGATCCGCATAGTTAAAGCAATGGTATTCCCCATAGTCATAGTGAGAGGTGGACCATAGGGAAGGCTGAGCGAAGGAAGATAGATGCTTTTGAACTGTTGTGTTGCAGGAAAGTTCTGAGAGTGCATTGAACCACGAGAAGATCCAATTGTTCCATACTTCAGGAAATAAAGCCCGACTGCTCACTGGAGGGAAGGATAGTAGAGGCAAAGATTAAGTACATCACATAATGAGAAGACAGGAAAGCTTAGAGAAGGCAATGATGCTGGGGAAAATGGAAGGAAAAAAGGAAGAGGGGCCGACCAAGGGCAAGATGGATGGATGACATCCTTGAAGTGACTGGCTTGACTCTGAAGGAGCTGGGGGAGGTGACTGCCAATAGGGAGCTCTGGTGTGGGCTGGTCCATGAGGTCACGAAGAGTTGGAAACAACTGAATGAATGAACAACAACAAAATGTATCGCTGGCCTCATGTAAGCCACTCCGAGTGCCCTTTGGGGAGATGGGGCGGGGTATAACTAAAGATTATTATTATTATTATTATTATTATTATTATTATTATGGTATAGTACAATATAGTAATATTTAATACTGATATTGTACTATGCTAATAATACAATATATTGTATGTATATATACCTTGTAAGCCGCTCTGAGTCCTCTTCGGGGTGAAAAGGGCAGCATATAAATGTCGTAAATAAATAAATAAATACAAACAACAAATCTCAACAAAAGATTTCCACAGGCACTAACAAGTCACACCAAAAAACTGCCAGGCCATCAAATGCTAATCAAGGTGGCCAACTGAAACATTCACACCTAGCTCCAACAGACAACAGATGTTCCCACCTCAACATCTTTAAACTTACTCGCCCAATGATGCACAGTACTCACATCCACACAATCACTATAAACAGCTTGCATTCTCTGATGAATCTCCTTTGGGTGACACCTTCTGCTATAAAGAATTCAATGATTGCACATTGCTTAAGTCGGATTGACCGACCATCTACGCAGGGTCCCATACTTCTCACTTTAACAACACAACAGTTCAATGCTAAGGCTTCCTGCCAAAATGGAACTGTAGAGGAGAGTCTACTGAACAAGCCAGTACCTGCCGCATATCAGTACTGCCATCTGTTGAGGAGTTACGAAGGTGGGGGCATTACTTTTCATTCAACACTCATAGTAGGTGGTCTGTGGTTTGCTCTTCTCTACACTTGCATGCCGTGGACTCCACTTTGTGGCCCCATTTCTTAAGGTTGGCTCTTCACCTCGTGGTGCCAGAGCACAGCCTGTTCAGCGCCTTCCAAGTTGCCCAGTCTTCTGTGTGGAGGGAGTTTCTCATCCGGTTTCAGTCGCTGATTAACGTGCTGGGTTTTAGCCTGCCACTTTTGGACTCTTGCTTGCTGAGATGTTCCTGCAAGTATCTCTGTAGATCTTAGAAAACTATTTCTTGATTTAAGGCGTTGGCGTGCTGGCTGATATCCGAACAGAGGGTGGGCCGGAGATGGCACTGCCTTGGTCCTTTCATTATTGGCTGCTACTTCCCAGCCTTGGGTGCAGCCACACTACAGAATGCATGTGCTTTGACATCACATATATACAATACAATCATATATAGAAATAATAACTTTGTAATGGAATAATACTAATATATTATGTACAATATTAATAATGTTTTAAGATAATATATATTATATATACTACATGAACCCCCAGTGGCGCAGTGGGTTAAACTGCTAAGCTGCTGAACTTGCTGACCCAAAGCTTTGGCGGTTTGAATCTTGGGAGTGGGGTGAGCTCCCACTGTTAGCCCCAGCTTTTGCCAACATAGCAGTTCGAAAAACATGCTAATGTGAGTAGATCAATAGGTACCCCCTTAGCGGGAAGGTAACACCACTCCATGCAGTCATGCCGCTCACATGACCTTGGAGGTGTCTATGGATGAGCACCAACCCCCAGAGTCAGACACAACTGGACTTAATGTCAGGGGAAAACCTTTACCTTTTCCTATATCTACTACAACTTACGATACGGTACAATAGATTATATAATACTAATAGTATAATATACTGGTGAGCACTCTGGTGGCACAGCAAATCCGGGGAGCAGGGTGAGCTACCACTGTTAGCCCCAGCTTCTGCCAATCTAGCAGTTCAAAAATATGCTAATGGGTGTAGATCAATAGATACTGCCTTAGCGGGATGGTAACGGTGCTCCATGCAGTCATGCTGGCCACATGACCTAGGAGGTGTCTACGGACAATGCCAGCCCTTCGACCTAGAAATGGAGATGAGCATCATCTCCTCAGAGTCGGACTCGAGTAGATTTAATATCAGGGAAAACCTTTACCTTTACCTTTATATATTGGTATAATAATATACTGCAACATAATATAATAATTTTATATTATATATTACATGTAATATTACTAATAGGGAATCCCCGGTGGCACAGCAGGTTAAACCGCTGAGCTACTGAACTTGCTGACCGAAAGGGTGGCAGGTTGAATCCAGGGAGTGGGGTGGGCTGCCGTTGCTATCCCCAGCTTCTGCCAACCTAGCAGTTCGAAAACATGCAAAGGTGAGTAGATCAATAGGTACCGCTCCGGCAGGAAGGTAATGGCGTTCCATGCCGTAATGCCGCACACATGACCTAGGAGGCATCTACGAACATCTTCAACTTAGAAATGAAGATAAGCACCACCACCCCCAGAGTCGAACACGACTAGACTTAATGCCAAAGGGAAACCTTTAACTTTTTAATATTACTAATAATATTGTAGTATAGTGGTCTAATACAATATAATAATATACAATACTAATATTGTGCTACGCTAATCATATACTATATTATATATACATATAATCTTGATAATATTATAATGTAAGACAATATAATGCAATATAATTATGTATAATAAGACTATTGTAATATAATAATACAAATATATTAAATAGAATACTACTGATAATATATAATAATATATCATGATAATATTGTTTTTTATTGTATATTTGTGTAATGTTTTTTATGGTGAGCTGCTTTGAGTCTTCGTATGGAGAGATAAATAAAGTGGGAGATAAATAAATAAATCTACAACTCCCAAGCTGTATGTATCCTGTTGATGCAGCCACGGGCAGCCAATACAAGTATGATAACATTGCATCAGATTTATGTGTATTTCGCTTCCATGCAATATCACCTTTAATCATGATTACTCAAACCTTTTGGCAGATGACTAGATGCTAGAGCAGCTGTCTGGGGAAATGATTGAGAGTTCTCCCCATTTCTGTATTGCACAAACATTCCACCAATCATATGTAAAGTTGTTTCCACCAAGCAGAATCTAGATCAGGTATGGGCATACTTTGCCCCTCCAGGTGTTTTGGACTTCAACTCACACAATTCC